CCCCCCCCCTACCTCCGGGCACGTGCCCTCTCTCTGTCTCCATCTCTCTCCCTCGTGCCCTCTCACCATGCACGTTATATCTGCGTAATGAATGTGAGAGACTCTCTATCTCTATCTTTCTGTCTCTCTCTCTCTCATACACAAAGAAAGAGAGAGAGAGGGAGACAGGGAGAGAAAAAGAGAGACACTTACATTCTTTGTTTTTTTTTTTTGTTTGCACCCAATATTTCTCACTCCTGCCTCCGCCTTCACTCCCCCTCCACGGCCGCAGTGTAGCTGCGGCGGGTCCGCTTGTTTCTTGATTGAAAAAAAGGAAAAAGAAGTGGGATATGAACCCTCCTGACCAGCGAGCATAGCGCAGTTGGTACACCCGTTAGTTGTTGAAATACAGGCCTGAGTTTGAATCCTGATGGACCTTCATGCATGGAATTACATCATTCTGAATTACAAAAAGAAAAAAGAAAAAAGGAGTGGGATATGAACCCACCCAGCTGACGCTATTGGTTGTCTGTTTTTTTTGCTTTGCTGCTCGAAGGTTTGTTGCAATAGAGCACATTGCATTGGATTCAGCATGGGGCTGCCGGGGCCAAACCAGCATGACACCCTCTTCAATTTCCTGCAATATATTGTGGAAGAGGTATGTCAACTCACGACTGAGGGTCCAGTTGTACTGTCCTTTCGCCCTCCTCTCCGACCCGCCTTTTTTTTGTTTTCAAATTTAAATTACTGAGAGAAAAAACCTTCAAATTTGAAAAATGAGTGGAGGACCTTATGGGCTTCTTGCTCGTTCCATTATGGAAGCATAAGTTTCATCATACCTTTCGTGCAAGAAAAACTGCCGCATCGCGTCCAGCATGAGAAAACTGCAGACAAAGTGGTCCACACATCACGCATAACCGTGATAGCCACGGCGGAAGTATGCAAAAGGAATCTCGAATCGGTTCTCAACAATCAGATAATAACAATGAAGCTCCCCATAGTCATAGCATAAGCTATGGCGTCACCTCCCTCCTCGCATAAGCTATGGCATCTAGAACTGAAGAGCGAAGAGTCTGGCAAACCCCGACTAGTTTCGACTGCTGCCAGTTAGCGTCCAGCATGGGTGGGACTGCCAGAGAACTAAAACGGTATGTGATCAAAGAGAACTTTCTCCGTCCTTTCAGACTGTTTTCTATCTTCCCCCTCCCGACCTTAAATAATAAAATACTTAACAGAGAAAAAGCCTTAAAAACAACCTTATTGCCATTCATCCTTTCATTCTGAGAAACTGCAATCCGGTTCTTTGTTGACAGGCAAGTCACAAAACTAGATAATACAGCCTATATAGGTCTACTTGGAATTATACCAGGGGGTCTAGCTCAGTTGATAACCCATGAACTATTGAAATAAAGACCCATGTTCGAGTCCAGATGCAACCAGATGACCAAAAAAAAACGAAACAAAAAAAAGGTTACCTGCTAGGGAGATATCCCGGGCGCCCGGGTCCCGATGTCACGCCCGGATTGGCGACCGACCGGGCATGACCCCAGCCCCAGCGCACATCAGAATTCGTCACAGAACTAAAGATAAAAAAGAAAATAACCATATCACACTAAGGCACCCCCCTTTAAACCCCTTTAGCCCCTTTAAAATTCATTTACACTCCCCTTTCCCCCCCCTTGACAGCCAACACTAAAAAAAAGAAAAGAGCCCGGATTTGGGCTCCTCTCGGAGAGCGCGGAAAAAAAAGCACCTCCATTTTTTTTTTTTTTTTTTTTTTTTTTTTTTTGCCATGACCGGGTCACCCGGGCGTCACGCCCGGGTGACCGGCCGGTCATGAAAATCTTCCTAGGTTACCTGCAATTATGGTTCAGAGAGGCGACCTCTGGCCTTACCAAAAAAAAAGAAAAAAAGAAAAAAGGTTTCCTGGCGACCATTGCAAGGAAGATTGAGCGAGAGCGATAGACAGAAATCCAAATTGCAAAATCAGGCTGTAGCCCAGATAGTCGTGTACCAAGCAGAAAGCACAATGCACTGAGTTATCAGCCAAATAAGAGCAATAAAATGAACTCAAATGTCGATGTAGACACTCTCTCTCCACACCAACGTAGTATCCAATGTCGCTCTTCTTGATTGGCGCTCATCGCCCAGCCTATCTACTCAGCACCTATACTAGCCTACGCTACGTTCAGGCAAAGGAATCATTTCGATGCCGAAAACCAATGTACGTGACGACGTCGCCAATGCAGACTGCCAGCATACACCAGGTATGTGTCTCTCTCTCCCCTCACATCACCCCTTGACTTCCCACAGTGTGCATCCCCGACACCCAAGGACCACCATCACCGTCACCAGCCTCCGCTGAGCAAGCTTGGCAGTGGCTGCTCAGCGCCCGCTGCACCAGCGGCACCCAACACCACAATGCCCCTTCCAGCACTTGGCCTACCAGCGGCCTCCAGCGCTCAAACCAGCAGCGCTGCCGCCAGCAAGCACATGACCAGAATATCCCCGGCTGTCGTGCTCACCTTCCTTTATGGAGAGTGTGCTCTGCTTTGTCGAGCTCTGGGCCTGGCTGGACGAGTTTCCAGTAGCTTCCAGTCGGGGCCCAGTGTCTGCGCCCAGACCCCCAGTTGCTGTTACGGGCCTGGGCCCTTTACAGGAGGGCATGCCCAGAGCTTTCGACATGGCCAGGCGCACAGAGAGAAAACGGACTTCTTTGTCATGTGGTGACAGTGCGTCGGTTTGACACGCGCCAGCCGTCGATGAGGAGCAACAATAGCCGAGGTTCGAAACTCTTCACCACGTGGCCCGCTCGTCACTTGGCCCGCTCGCGGTAGCCCACGAGGCTACAAGTGTTCGCCGCGATCTCATTGGCTGCAGGCCAGTGTGTGACAAAGATGCTGCATTCTCATTGGCCCTCGGCCATTCTGTGATGTGTCAGGCTCTGGCGGCTCATGCCGAGGGCTTCAGCTGTATGTGCCCTGGGCTCAACTGCCTCTCGAGCTGCTGGTTCCGGAATGAGCCAGGAAAAAGGCTCACGTTGCCCTGTAACCAACTGGCGTGCTGCAACTGTCTGATACTCCACATGCAGAATTGACAAAAATAGGCCTCATGTAAATATTATGGCCCTCCTTCGCATAGGGCGGGCACAAGCCTGCACGGGGCCTCAGCCGAGATGTGGGGTGAGCCCTAGAAGAGCCACTGCAAAATGCCAGGCCCGCATATAGATTCCAACAGCCCTTTAGCGTGATCACACTGGCCTATACCCAGGCCTGGGCGCATATTTGCAGGCCCGCCCCAAGGCCTTTTCCAGCACTGCCGAGGGCTCAAATCCTCGCACCATCCTTCCTATGTGCTGCTCTCTTTCTCTGCTTCCTATTGTGTTGTTTTAGAATGGGTCAGCGATGTCGGCCCCTAACATTATTGTATGCATCAGGATTTGAACTCGTGATCTGTTATCAACAGTAGCATGTGTGTAGCGTTGAGTTGCAGGCCAGGTATGCTCTTTCTCTGCTTCTGTATTCTCACTTTCAAAACATCCTCCTCCTTGTTGTGTGCTTTTTCGTACACCTTTCGAGTTTCGATCTTGAAGTTTCAAGTTTCAACCCATCAGCGCATCGCCTTATTTTCCTTTCTTCTTTCGTGAATGCTGTCTACACTTTTTTTTTTTTTATAGCATTGGTTGCTGTGAGATAGTCGTCCCTTTCCTTGTTGTGTATGTAACAAGCAGTTCCTTGATGGGTGGATGGACGACATGACCAATCACTGGGCATATGCCGGCACACAGCAAAAGACTCAAGTCAGCAGCCGACAGTCAAAGAACTCAAAAATTTGAGAGAAAATCGGGGCAGGTTGTGGGTTCAAAACTCGCTGCCCCAACGACGCTACCCCTCAGCTGGAAGCCCTATAAGAGCGGTACTTACATGTGCCAAAGGGCTTCAAGTTGCCCCACGGCACACAAAACAAAACGAAAAGACAGAAAACAAAAAGCGCATGGCATCATGAACTTCGAATTCGTGTTTTCCTTCTGTTTTTTGACACTCTGCCATACAGCAGACACGAACCGGTGTGCTCACCATTTTCCGCAACTGTCTTTTAGCGCGATTGTGTGCTCTGTGGATGAACAGAGGTTGCAGTGGGTTTGAACGGGCATACTGGAGTCACAAATTTTGGTCAGTTTCCGAAAGGTGCTCGAGAGCACCCAAGACATTTGCGGCTTGCAGTCTGTACTTTATCAGTCGCAGGACCTCCTCCGTGCATGCACGGATACGAACCGGCGCCCTCAGCCTCAAGAGCCGAGTTTCTTAACCACTACAGCCATGGCATGGTGTACAAAAGTGGATCCATACCGGTCATGATATCCACCCCACCCTGCATGGCTGTAGCGTCCTTCAGCCCACACACACACGGTAGGGTGCAAACGGTGGGAAACGTAAACTCTTTCTATCACTAAGCGGGACAACATCACTCGGTCTGGCTCGTCCATCAAGAACACTATGTCGATGTGTACCTGCAAGCTCTACCGCTGTCGGAGAGCAATCCGGCTGAACCTCCTTGTTACCCTGTGCATGGCCCGGCAGAGAGTCGTCCCTGTGTAGATCGGACGGATTCTGCCACGGACAGTGAAGGGGCCCCTCCAGAGGACGATGACTGTGCCATCCCATTCTGTCGTCACACAACCGCAGTTTGGTTAGCACACACACGGCATAGTCTTTGCTCCGAACGCTATGAAGGGATGGTCATTGCCGGCCTCTGCCATGAAAACTGTGATCCTTCATCGTGTACTCATCCTTCCCACCCCCTAATTGCTTGCCCGGCATGCCGTACTGGCCTCGGCATGCCTTGTCTAAATAGGGCACTTGGCAGACGAAAGACAGACGCAGCAGCCTGAGGTGGGTAAACTACCATATTGTGGCATTCCCAGTTCCACATGGGCCTTCCGCAGGGTCTGGTCTGTATGGTTAGGGGTCAGCAGGGTTAGTAGGTCTGATTAGGCCAGATTAGAACTAGGCCCTGGCGCGTCGTTTTGTTAGCCCCAGGCCCTCGGTTAGCGGCCCAGTTAGACCAGCAGGAGGGATGGCACAGGCCCTGGCGCCGTTTCGTGTTGGTGCCAGGCCACGGGACAGTTTGGGCGCCAGGTTAGGCAGCCCCTGGGTTAGTACGGCACAGGCCCCGTCGTTTTGGGCACCAGTCTAGTTGGAGCCTGATCGCGCATCAGATTGGACGGCTCACACGCGAGGCCTCGAGCCTACAGCTCGGCCTACCGGTTGGACCAGCGCTGTATATAGCTGGTCCACCTCTTAGTAGGCAGGCATTCTGGAGGTAGTACCTCGTAGTCGACTAGTGATAGAGAGTAGTCTTCCAGCAATGGGCACTGCGTTAGGACTTTATCTTCAAGCTTGGCTGCAGTGTACTGCAGCGGGAGTAGGGAGCAGCGTAGGTGATGGGCGGAGGCCAGGGGACTTACCTGTGACTCCATCCGTCCAGCTTTGTCTTCAGCACGTCCATACCGGCATCAAGGCAACACCTTTTGCAGTTCAGTACCTGGTACCTGAGAGAGAGAGAGAGAGAGAGAGAGAGAGAGAGAGAGAGAGAGAGAGAGAGAGAGAGAGAGAGAGAGAGAGAGAGAGA